AAGACACAACTCTATGTTGCTTACAAAAACAAACAAAACAAAAAAAAAACACTGCACCTCTAATGATACATATAGATGAAAAATGAATGGATGAAATAAGATATTCCATGCGAATTGAATCCAAAGGAAAACAAGAGTAACGATACTTGTATAGAATTAACTTTAAACTAAAATCAGTAAAAAGAAATGTACATTATTATGTAATGATACAGGGGTCCATTCAGCAAGAGAAAATAACAATTTTCAATATGTATGTACCCATTATCACAGCATCTATATGCACGTATACAAAAATCACTCAACATTATTAATCATCAGAGAAAAGCAAATCAAAACCTCAATGAGATATAATTCTACCCCAATAATAATAGCTATTTTTCAAAAAGTTTACACATAACAAAAACTGGCAAGTATGTGGAAAAAAGGGAATCATTACACACTGTTGTTGGGAATGTAAGTTAGTATAGCCATTATGGGAAAAAGTAAGAAGGTTTCTTCAAGTAATTAAAAATAGAACTATTAAGATTTAACAATCTCAGGACTAGGGTTATGACTTAGCAGTAGAGCACTCACCTGGCATGTGCAAGGCCCTGGGTTCGATCCTCAGCACCACATAAAAAAATTTAAAAAAGTAAAATAAAGGTATTGTGTCCAACAACAACAACAACAAAAGATTTATCAATCCCACTCATGGATATATATCCAATGGAAATTAATTAGTATTCTAAAGAGATATCTATATTTCCATATTCATTGCATCATTAATCATAATACCCAGGAAATAGAAATAATTTATGTGTCCATCACCTGATAAATGGATAAGGACAACTTGGTACATTTATATGATGGAATACTATTCAGTCATAAAAAGAATTAAGTCCTGTCATTTACAATAACATGGATGGAAATGAAGATCATCATATTAAGTGAAATAAAGCACGTGCAGAAAAACAAGTACTGCATGATCTTACTCAGAGGTGGAATCTAAAAAAATCTAGACTGGGGGGTACAAAATGCAGGGAGAGTGTGGTAGGAGAAGGGATGGAGAAAGATTGATCTATGGTTACTACATTCCAGTTAGATAGAAATAAGAAATTCTGGGGTTATTGTACAATGATAACAATAATGTACTGTGCATTTCAAAAAGCTAGAAGAAAGGATATTGAAAGATTTCACCATAAATAAATAATTAATGTTTGAGAAGATATATATGTTTATTTAAATATTACACTATACATATTTCTTAAAATATATCATGGTATCCCTTTTATATGTACAATTTTATGTTTTATACATAAATTTAAAATGAATATATTTTTAAAACAACATATGGAATAACAAAAGACATTTATACCAATAGAATAGAATAGACTGCCTAGATATAAACTATTTAATATATGGTCAAATGATTTCCAATAAAAGTTTCAAGAACATTCAGTGGGTAGGAAGTCTTTTTTCACAATTAGGGCTTTTAAAACTGAATATCCACATGAAAATAAGTGAGTTTGAATTCATATTTTATATAAAAAAATCAATCCAAAGTTAATGAAGAACCTAAACATTGAGTTAAAATTATAAAACTCACTGGGTACAATGACTCATGTCTATAATCTCAGAGGCTAGCGAGGCTGAGGCAGGATTTGAGTTTAAAGCCATCCTCAGCAACTTAGCGAGGCCCTAAGCAACTCAGAAAGACCCTATCTATAAATAAAATGTTTAAAAAGGTCTGAGAATATTGCTCAGTGGTTTAGTTCCCCTGGGTTCAATCCCTGAACCCCCTACCACCAAAAAAGATCATAAAACCCATAGAACAGAGAAAAAGCTCCAAGAGATTGGTGTTCTCAGTGATTTCTTAGATATGACACAAAAAGCATACGAAATAAAATTAAAAGTAAATAATTTGGGGGCTGGGGATGTGGCTCAAGTGGTAGCGCGCTCTCCTGGCATGCGTGCGGCCCGGGTTCGATCCTCAGCACCACATACCAACACAGATGTTATGTCCGCCGAGAACTAAAAAATAAATATTAAAAATTCTCTCTCTCTCTCTCCTCTCTCTCTCTCTCTTTAAAAAAAAGTAAATAATTTGGACTTAGAATGCTTTTGTATGTCACAGACACTACTAATAGAATGAAAAGGCAATTCACACAATGAAAGGAAATCATTTTCAAATCATTTACTTGATAACAGATTGGTATCCAAAATATATAAGAAATCCTACTATTAGCCACATTTAAAATAAACAATCAAATAAGAAGATTGTTACTTGCTGTGTTGGCACATGCCTGTACTACTGGCAACTCAGGATATTGAGGCAGGAGAATTGCAAGTTGGAGGCCAGGTTTTGCAACTTAGTGAGAACTCTTATCAAAATAAAAAATAAATAAATGAATGAGAAATTAGTTATAAGTTTTGACCAAGATTTGGACCAATTTGTACAATTATACACTGGTTTGTGGGAACATAAAATGGTAAAGCTGCTACAGAAAATAGTTCCTGAAAAATTAAAAATAGAATCATCAAAGCTGGATGCAGTGGCATGCAAGTCCCAGTTACTTGGGAAGCTGAGGTTGGAGGATCACTTGAGCCTAAGAATTTTAGAACATGGACACCATAATGTGATCCCCATATCAAAAAAGAAAGAAAAAGGAAGGAAGGAAATAAAGAAAATAAGCGAGATCCTCCCAAAGCAGGGGTTCAAAGACATATTCCACACTCATGTTCATAGCAATATTATTCACAATAGCTAAAACATGGAAGAAAATCAAGTGTCTATTGGTGAATGAGTGGATAAGCAAAATAGGCTATATACATATATAAGAATTTTATTCAGCCTTAAAAAAGAGAGAAATCCTGATACATGATACAGCACAGATGAAAGTTATAAACTTAATCCTTAAGTGACCAAACTCAATTACGGAAGAACAGATAGTATATGAAGTCTCTTGTATGAGATAACTAGAGTAATCAAATTCCAGAGAAGAAAAGTAGATGGTGGTGCCAGGAGGTGGAATGCCAAGGATGATCAAAGTAAATGTATAATGAGTATGGAGCTTCAGTTGAGGAAGATAGAAAAGTTCTGGAGATAGACGGGTGATTACGATCGTTGCGCAACAATATAAAATTGCTTAATATTACCAAACTGTAGAATTATGATTATGTTATGGATGTTTAACAGAAAAATGATATAAGAAAAATACCCAGAACTGAAGGACAAAATTTTTCAGATTGAAAAAGCACAATAAACTGAATAGAGAGAAAACCCAGCTAATCAAACTAAAACTGAGACAAATCACTTATGAAATACTTGAATACCTGACATAAAAACTGCTTATTTACAGTGAAAGGTGACAATCAACAACAAACAGAAGTTCACACACATCAGATCAAGAACTAAATGGCAATGGATGCCAAAAGTAACACTGGTATCTAGAAAGCAAGGAAGTAATTCTAAAAAAAGAAAGAAAATTGAAAAACATTCTGTATTTAATTGCACTTAATCTCATCATCTACCAAATTAGGTGTGGCATAAAGACAAGCTTAGGCTTTTAAATTTTAAAAAAATTTAACCTCTATGCATAAGTTGTCAGTAATAGAGAAGGCCTCTCATTAAAAGAAGAAAATAAACCAAGAAAGAACATGATATAGAATCCTGGAAACAAGGGTTTCAACAGATTAGAGAGAGATAAACTCTCAAGATCACGGTGGAAGGAAAGTGCCAAAATAACAGCTATCATAGGAAGTACAGCAATAAAATTAAAAGAGTAAAAAGATGGGATCCAGAAGGATTATCTTTTTTTAAAAATGTGGGTATATTTGAATTGGCAGTAGTTTGAATGGTGTAAGAGATTTGAAAACACATTTTCAACAAAAAACTGCATAAAAAAACAAATTTATTCCTAAAATAATGTGGCCCAGCTGTGGGCAGTATTTACTTAGTCAAAATAAATACAAATGAAATATTAGTTAACTCCAAATAGTGATGTTATAATTCTATTAGGAGAAGAGAGAAGGTTATAGGTAAGTGTATGTGTTAAGGAGAATTATAAGAGAATAAAATCTCAATCTTTCATAGTAGAAACCTATAGATTAAATCTAAATTTGAAAAAGAGATTTTCTGATTAAGCTCAAATTATTTATTTTTAATTTTAATATAATAAAATTATTGAATTAAATGGCCTTGAAGTAGTAAAAGGAATGAGTGGAGGGGTATGTAGCATGGACTCCTATTTTTCCTTTTATTCCAGTTTGGTTTATAAGCCTAAAGGTTTAAAACATCATATAAAAATAAAATTACATTTAAATAAAAGACATAGAACTTTATGAAGTACATGAAAATAATGATGTACAGATAAAATAAGCAACAAGTCACTGGCAGATGTGGATCTAGCAGAGTGACCAGTTTTACATGCAAGAAAAGAAAATAACCAAGATAAAGATACCAACATGGAATTTTATAAAATAGAAAGAATTAAGTATTTGTGAATTAAAGAGGATCCCTTTAGATAACTGATTTTCAAATTAAAAGGCTTTATAATACTTCTGTGAAAGATGATAGAAAAAAGAATGTCTCTTATAACATTTTCTCATTTTAAAAAATCTTTAAAAATAAAAGAATGCATATTTACAACCAAAATTTAATAATACTCATTTATATAACAAAAATAATTACAAAGTTGAAGTAAATTTAATATCACTTTTTAATTTCAAAATTTGTGATTAATCTGATACTTCATATAGTTCTCAAAGAAGGTGTAATACGGACAAAACCATACAATAACAAAACAATCAATTCAGTGTAATTCTTGCTATCCAATTTACCCACTTCCAAATATCTAGGTTCTTCCAAATATTAGGTTCTTGAAATTCATGGAATTCATGAATTTGTATATTTCATTGACTCTTGTATTTATTTAGAGTTCAAGTCATTCTTCCCAATGGGCAGTGCTTTATTTAGTCATCAAAATATATTTTTAAATATAATTAAAATTTATATAACTTACCTTCTTGAAAGAGATGACTTGATTTTTTTGATTTCCTGCCAATATCTTTTGTTTTTAATCCATATATAATGGGAGAAACATTTTTTCTCTGTCCACTAGCTTTTTTAAGATCAACAGAAGAATAAATATCCTGTGAAAATAAAATAAAAGCACTGATAGCATCTCATATGTTTTAGAGTTCCCAAAGAGCTTTCATATGCAATATATAATATTATAATTGACTTTAATTAAAAAGAAATCTGGAAAATAGGCAGAGTTAAGAAAAAAATTTAAAAAATCTTCCTTTCTGTAATATTTTGATAAACTGTCCTTCTATTAAGAGTTAATAATATACCTTAGATAAAGCTACAAAAGAGATGGAGGATAAAGGAGACCTGTCCAGAGAATGCCATAAGGAGACAGCAAAGAAACACACTATAGTGTTTGTCCAGAAAGTCTAAAGGAAGATTCAGAGAAAGAAAATTTACTTCACAGAACAATGATGACAGCAACATAAGCTGGAAAAGGAGGAACAGTAACACAAGAAGAATGTGGTGGGGGTGGTCAGCATAATTAAAAATCTGAAAAAAAACAAGTGGATCAAATATGACTGGGAGGAATAACAAGTTGAAGAGGAGCTTCATCAAAAAATGGGGGCATTGTCAATGTAAACTGTATGTCTGTATTGTAATGTTTTATTAACTCTTTTTCTCTTCAGAGTCCAGCCAGGACTATTCCAGAGGTTTTATCAGGTCATGAGGGAATCATCTCTATTTTATTGCATGCATTGCTTCTATCCTCAAAGTTCTCTCATCATTCCAGAGAGATTCTAGAGCTTCAAACACCTTGTCTACATTTCAGTCTGGAAGATGGAAGAAGAGAAAATTTAAAAAGGGCACAATCATATTTCTTATCTCTTCTCAGAGATTCTACTAATCACTTCTACTAAGATCTCACTGACCACTCACAGTTACAAAGGAGAGGGTAAGGAATATGGCCTTTAAACTAGGAAAAAAAAAAGGAGGGGGTACTGGAGTAAAATTGAAGGCCTCTTACTAAGAAGAAGAGAAGGGGGAACAAAGGACAGATAAAAATGGGCAAATAATTATCTCTGTCACAGGTAGAAAAACGAAGACCATAAAAGGATGTATATGTTTGTACATTACAACTTTTGCAGGATAATGTGCTTTCCTTGATAATAAACACTGATCTAAATTCTAAAAGCTTAGCAAATATTCACCTGAAGCTAGATCTTTCTGAGATGTTTGCTTTTGCATATTTGAATATATAACATTTACATAGAGTTTATCACCTGCCATTATTTTAAGCTCTTTACAGATATTAGCTCATTTAATACATAAAAAAACAGGAGGTGAGCTTTTTCACCCTGCAAGCTCTCATAGAGATCTTTATGTCTATGAGAATTAAAGTCATAGAAGAGGATTTCAAAATAGAGAAATCATTCTCATATTTTCATCAGTATTTTTACTTGTCCACTGATTCAAACCTCCTTTATTCTTTTATTCTACCTTTTAGTAAAAACCACTTGGATATGTTTTCTCTCTACACCACATAACATAGATATGTTTAATGAAATCTATATTATTATTATTAGAAATATATATTATTAATACATGGTATTCTCTAATTTATCATATTGAAAACAAGTCTGCAATGTCGCAAGTTGCTAGGATATTTTATTGTTCATTGCAGGTACTAAGTATTATCTGTTCATGAATTTATTCTTCAATGAAATAGCTTTCACTCATCAACTCTAAGATAATTTCTTTTAAGTCTTTACATGACAATATCACTAGTTTTTGCTAGAATACAAATAAGCAGGGTACTTTAGACCTCAATAATGGTCTTTGTACTTTATATATTTACAAATTTTTCTTAAGGTTACCAATAATGATTATAATTCATAATATCAAAATGTGATGTGATTTTTAGGTAATGTTGAATCTGTTTTCATTTAAATCTATTTTTATATTAAATATGACAAAAATAGCATAGAACACTATGTTGCAATTAAATCTGAAAAAAATTGTCAAATGCTTTTCCACCTCAAATTTTCTATAAATCCTTATCATACAGTATGATTCTTGTATCTTCCTACTTCTGAGGATTTTACTCTATTTTGATAACTTCCCTATCTTTTCTTGCTAACAATACAATTCATCACATGTGAAAAAATCACTTCAAAGTCCATTTGAATCATAGAAATAGTCTTTTAGATGCCACATTTTTATCCTACCCATAAGAAAATAATGCATGTTCTCAACAATTTGGTTTTCACAAGTATTTATTCCTTTATGTTGCCTCAGAATGATAAAGAAAAAAACACTACGTCAAATCTGAGATGCATTATCTCTATCATAGTTAATTTATAGAATCATGAAATTTAAAAGGCCAGAAATTAAATAAGTAGCTAGCAAATTTATTTTCAAAATATCATTTCTTTAGTTCCCCCCATTTACCTTTTATCATGTATCCAAACATCATTGTTTGTCATAATTTAAAATAGTTTTCCTTGTTTAATTTTAGAAAAGAAAAATTTATTACCAAGATTTCATACTTTATAGTGGAATAAATCTGTAGTAAGATAATCAGTCTAGATCTCTAAATAAACCTATTTATATAAGCTAAAGTCTCTAAGTTAAAGCTCACACAAACTACCAACATAATGAAAATGTACTTTTCTGTTCTATATATTTCAAAAAGAAAAAGAAACAATGTGACCATTATTGACTGATCTATGAGACCATGGAGAAGGAAAAGTTATCAGAAGACTAAGAATGATCTACTAAACATTTTGTTTTCTATAGCAAAAGCATATTCTATTCTCTGTAGCACTCTAATCCTCACACTGGTCTTCAATAATTTTAGAAAATATTTTAAGAATATTTGATAACATTTGACATTATAAGTTGACAACAAATTAATTGCATTAGATATAATTTAATTTTTAACAGGCTCAAGGTAATTCAGTTCAAATATTTGTGTATGGTAAACCTAAATCAGTAGTATGTTTGATATATCTTTCTTTACTTAAAAAATAACAATATGATTAGGTAAAGCACTTGAGTGATCATATGGAAAAAAGTGAGAATTAATAAAATGATACCACTCTGAAAGAACGTCTATAATTTCATTATAAACAGATCTGTTCTCAATCATATCTTGATCAATATGTGTATGTATGATTTGACTCAAAATATAAAAGAAATGTTTATCACATTTTCAGAAGAAATGGTAAAGGAACAAAATCTTTGAACACCAGACAGCAGTCTAAAACATGGCATATCCACAGACTGGAGCAGTGGGTCAAATTAAATACATGAAGTTAAATAGGAAGAGATATTACATTTGGGCAAAAATAATTAATTGAATACATCATATGATTTAAAGGATGAATGATAAGAGACCCAAGATATTTAAGAGAAAACTAATTAGAACCCCTTTGTACAATGTGACTCTAACTTATATTAATATTTACTTTAGAAAGGGAAAAAATGGCACTCTTATCCTATCACTTCTGATCAGAACAATAGTTGGTATATTGTGTCAGGACAGAGAAATATGTTTAAAAGTTACAGAAAACCAGGAACATGAAAAGATAGACGTTTACCCACTAAATTACTGTGAAATTAAGCAGTGTATAAGTCACATTTAAGTAGAGAAAATGTAACAAGAGATCTGGGCTCCACTTTCTTATGACGTACATCTTCCTCTTCTTGGAAAATACTATTCTCCTGTTCAAATCAGAAGAACTTTGTTCTGTAACCCTTTTATGAAACTGTATACGTAAGTCATGAGCATTCTTGGCAAATTCAACCTCCAAAATAGGTCTCAAATCTGTTCAACTTTTTGCATTTCTACTGTTATTTCTTTAAAGTTATGATTTGAACAACCAATAAAAAAATAAATAAAAAAAAAGAAAAAAAAAAGAAAAAAAAATAAAGTTATAATTATCTCTTCCCAGTCAAGGTCAATCACAAATATCTTCTTTTAGTATATACAAGATACATTTACATGGTTCAAGTTGTAAACCTGATCATATTTCTTTTTGTCTTTAAATGTAATTTAAGAATACTAAGTCTTTACTATGAGGTACAAAATCTCAGTAAAATGAGGCCTCTGACTAAATAGCTCGCTCATTTATCTCATGCTACTCTTGACTTAGTTCATTATACTTCTGTCACTCTAGACTTCATTCAGTCTCCTGAAGGAATCTCAAACAAAAGAAGCTATTGCTGTGTTCTGCTGCCTATCCTATCCTCTACTATCCCCCTCCCCTCCCCTCCCCCCCCCTCCCATCTTCTCTCTCTACCCCATCTACTGTAATTCATTTCTCCCCCTTGATTTTTTCCCCCCTCACTTCCTCTTATATGTAATTTTGTATAACAAGTATGGCACTATGTAAAAAAGTGGATGTGTAACCCATGTGATTCTGCAATCTGTATACAGGGTAAAAATGGGAGTTCATAACCCACTTGAATCAAATGTATGAAATATGATATGTCAAGAACTATGTAATGTTTTGAACAACTAATAATAAAAATTTAAAAAGGAAGCTATTGCCTGCCTCTAGTCTTTATGCAGACTCTTCCCCCTGCCTGGAACACTCCTTCCCATACTTCACATGATTAGCTCCTACTCTTCTGGTCTGAACTTAAAATATTATCCCCTCAGAAAATCCTATAACAACCTTGTGAAAAATAATCTCCCTCCTCTTCTTGATTTTTTCTTTATTTTATTTTTTGCAGGGGAGGGTCTCAGAGGTTGAACTCAGGGGCACTAGACCACTGAGCCACATCACCAGTCCTATTTTTTAAATTTTATTTGGAGACAGGGTCTCACTGAGTTTTTTAGTGCCTCACTTTTTGCTGAGGCTAGCTTTGAACTCGCAATCCTCTTGTTTCAGACTCCTGAGCTATTGAGATTGCAGGCATGTGCCACCGTGCCCAGCACCCTATTTGTTTTGATTATAAGATTTATCACAATTTTATTTGTTTGTTTGCTTGAGTTACATTTCCCCACCTAGAATCTAGTTCACAAGGATGTACTGTTTACTCATTACTGAAAATGGTCTATGGCATTCATCAAATAGATGAATTCTAGATAGGGAAGAAGGGTGGAAAGGAAAGG